ACCGTGCTGCATACCTCCAGTTAGTACCCATCACCAGTTTGATGTATGTGTACCACACCTCTTCGACGAGGGCTACCAAAATGGCTGTTTACTTTCTCGTGGGTACCACTCGCTAATTCACAACGATAACTAAACCGGCCAAAAAGGTGAGCAACATGCAGTCAGTGTCGGATTTTACTTTCTTGCATGGTCGTAATGATATCCCGCACAACCCCGGGAAGAATATGAAGAGCGGGGAGTATGACTGCTTTTATGGCTACGAAGAGATATCCAAACCGTCTTTGCGGTGCACCACACCCTTCCCTCGAACGGAACCCGCAACACACCGCCTATCACCCACAATTCGCAACATTCGAGTTCCCGCACCTCCACCACCGTAGGTTAACTTTACCCACGTTGAAGAAAAAATTTTTGCAAATCGTATATGACACCGGCCAGACCAAGCCGAGTTTTAGTAATGTCACCTCGTCGCGGCCCGTTAAAAATTTAGGGACCTAGTGCAATGGGCTTGTTTCCCCCATGGGGGTGGCGTGGTACGGGGTAGTTTCAGTTAGCACTACCACTAACTTCGCTTCTCTTTCCAGTTTTCCTGCCCCCAAGGAGAGTTTGAGCTCCTTTGCGAGGTATAGATCTCCCCTCCCCCATCTTTTTATATATCCAAGATCTTAACTCACCCTGTACCCCTAACCCTCCACTTCATCCCTTCCCCTTCCTCTACCCCCCAGTAGTTGCAGCTCATCTCCCGACCGAGGTGAGTGAAGCCGAGCCGAGCCGAGGCGAGTTGCCTGTAAAATTTGAACTTGCCAGTTACCTGAAAACTGTTTGGAACAGTCACTTTGTCACGGGTATTAAGCGATCGAATCGTTTCGAATTTCTCACTGTCGCCCTCGTCCCCTCCCTCTTCCTTGAGCCAATTTAAGGTTAAAAGAAAAATATAAAAAAAATATAAGAAAGGATGATGGAAAAAGTAAGAAAGGAAATATGGAAAAAATGAGAATTATTAAAATAGATAAGAAATGTTTCGCTCCATTAAGTCG